AAAATCAACTTCGCTGTTCTTTCCTATATTCTGCACAATGATTGAAGTTGTGCAATGACTCGATGTTATCCTTCAATGTATATTTTTTATTGTGTTTTTGTGTTTTGTTTTTGTGTGTTGTTTTTGAAAAGTATTTCATGGTTACTATACGTTATGAAGGCTTGCTTTATCGAGGATTTTGTATTTTATTAGATGGTTTATAGATGGTTTATAGAGATAGTTTGTTGATAGAAACAATGTATGATAGCCTTGCAATGTATCGTCACACCTTTTACGTACCACTCTTACGTGAATGATTCGTATTCTTTACCTGTAGTGGATATGTTTGTCTTATTCTTGAAACGTTTTACCGTATGTACCACTCTTTTTTTTTATCAGTTTAATGTTTGCAAAATCTATTGATTAATTCTAGTCTAGTACACGTTTGATTAACAAGTCATAACATGAGCTGTGAATAAATATTCACTTATAATCTTCTATGAATTGAAATGAGTTGTAAAGAAGCAGATTAGGAGTAATCCCAAAAAGCATTTCACTTGCAAAAGAGTTTGGTAATCGTTACACAAAAAAACAATATATTTTTTTTGTTGTAAAGAACAAACATTTTTATAGATGTCTCGTCGTCTATATAAAACGATTACTTTTTGTATGAAGTGTAATATTCTTCAGAGAATTAACTTTTTTCATGCCTTAATTTTAGATAGTATTTAGCTTCGGTACTTTGCCGTTTTAACATTCATTGTACAATGACACTTAAAACATTTTTAACAAATCGTCGACGAGGAACACGTTACCGTTTAAATGGAATAACACAATCAACGTTTAGTCCTAGTCGATGGCAGCCATTTTCAAATATTCGAAAATTGACTAGTGCAGGAGAGTTACCAGCAAAAGTTGATTTAAGACCGCAAATGACACCTGTCGAAGATCAATCGCAAATTGGTAGCTGGTTAGTCGGATTCAAACTTAAATAATTTTTTTAATATAGCATTCAGAATTCGAGATTATGTTTAAAAATATCGTAAGGAATAAGCCATTCATCAAAAGCGGACGACATAGCGATAGTTTTGTGCGTGATATTAATTAGAAAGAACGAGAAGAGTAACTTAGCATTTTCGTGCTAACACGCTACGATTTCAAATCACTTCCTGTCCACGTTTTACAGCCCTCCTCAGCAATGCATCGTGATAACTGTAAGTTTGATCTCAATCAAAGTTTCTAGCAATGTTGATTTTATGATTGTACACTTTCGATAGAGTTTTCGGGACGCCATCTATCACTGTTTTGGAGATGTTGCTCAATTACAGGTCAAAATGAAGCTGTTCGTAGCTACAAGATTTTTCTGTAGCGAAGCAACTAAGAGCTCGGGCTGACCTTAAAACGACGAAAACATATAGGGCTAGAGGCTAATAGGTTAAACTATTTATTTTTTGACATGAAAAGTTATCTTCTTCCTATGTATTTTAGTTCGGCAAATGCGCTTGCGGGTAAGATTTTCTATATAACTTTCATGAGCCTGATTATCATTGTACCTCGCACTATATTTCAGGTGCATATGAATACCTTGTCAAGCAACACTTAAATAAAGATACATTGGTTAGTCGTTTATTTATTTATTACAATGGTCGTCAACAAGAAGGAGAAGGTGACATAACTGATTCTGGTTGTACCATGTCAGCTGCAATCGAAGCACTTGAAGCTTATGGTACGTGTGGCGAACGCTTATGGCCCTATGATATATCAGCAGTAAATACTAAGCCATCTCAAGCCGCCTACACTGAAGCAAAACAATTTATAGTTGATGAAGCATTGTCTGTTCAGATTGAATTAAACGAAATGAAATCATGTTTGGCACAAGGTTTTCCTTTTACATTCGGGATCATGTTATTTCATTCATTTGACGATGCAGCAAGTGGAGGAGTTGTACCGATGCCATGTATGACTTTGATGAGGCCTAGTTCAGACCATCCGTAAGAATATCTTTCTTTCTTTTTCAGCTGGTGGACAGCAAGGAGGGCATGCATTGCTTTGCGTTGGTTATTCAGACCAATCAAACTCTTTCATTGTTCGAAATTCGTGGGGAGAGTCCTGGGTAAGTAGTCGCTGCTATATTCTAATAATAAAAAGAAAAAAGCAATATGGAAAATAAGAGGTCGCTGAATAAAAAGATTTTGCTGTAAGAAAAACATATTTTGACAGTAAAGTCGTTGTTTTACAGGGCGATAATGGTTATTGCTACATTCCATATGATTATATGACAAATACTGATTATACGTTTGATGCATGGACAATAAGAAAGTTATCGAGCGATGACTTTGGTCAAGATGCGTGGGACAATGACGATAGTGTGGATTATACTCAAAACGCAGGTAATGATGCTGATGCTGGTAATGGGGCTATTGAAGATGTTGATGACGATTTGGACAGTGGTGGTGATTTTCAAAGTAATGATTATGGTGACGATAATGATAATAATTGGTAAAAAAGGAGTAGGGAAAAATGGACTCAAACTTGAACAAATGATGATAGACTATCGTTAACAGAAGAAAAATTAAAAATGTTTCGACAGTGTTTAATGAAGTGGTTCATTTTATGAGTACGGGTGCAGCGATCTTCATCGTGCATCTCAACTAGTTTACGTGTTTTTCTTGAAACGTGTGTCTCAGCATGCGACTCACGTGCAGCTTTTTTATTTATGCAGCTTATGCGGTTGAAGCAAAGTTTACTTATTCCAAAAAGTAACGATTTTTAATGGATCAGATCTCTGCCTAGGCGCTCCCCGGAGCAAAAACATTTTTTCATCTATTTCTTATTTTGCTTACCTTGCGTATAAGCCTTCAGAGTTGAACAGATCCAATGTTTGAAACCCACGACTATTTTAAAGCAAACAATTTTTTTGTCAAACAATAAAAAGTGTAGGACAAACTCTCTTCTTTCGAGTGTTGGAAACTGCAATTCTCCACCTCTTACCATCTTTCAGTTATTGAAAAAAAACTATGTTTTGGGATGGTAAACACTTGCAAAAAACAAAAATCATACTGTAAGGTTTAAATTAAGGATTATTAAACACATAAAAATGTGTAAAGAAACAGTAAACCCTTCAACATACAAAACAGTTTACAAACGAGGATAAGAAAGCTTCTTTAGCGATCATTCAGTCGTCTTCTTTTGCATTATTGAACTCTTTCAACAACGTGAAAGTTTAATTGTTGAATGACTTCTCACTTTAAAAAAGTGCATTCGCATTTTAAAAATTCAAGCTAATTATTTCAAAACCGATTGGATATTTTAGAAAAAACGGAAGTACTCGACGATTTAGCAATATTGCTGCGAAATGATGAGATTTTTGAGTGGCTTTAGCGTGAGAGTGAGGTTGAGAGTGGCTTTAGTGGCTTTAGGGAAAGGTCTACATGGAACCAACTGTGGTTCATCGACAAAGAGACAGAGTACCCTGTGTTAAAACGTATGCCGTATAACATAATCGACAACGGAGAATCATATGCAGTCTGTTTTCATCGATCTTGTTTCTAATTTTTCTCCGTCAGTAGGTATGTCAAATGAGCAAAAAAATTCATAGCTCTTAGTAGACAATTCAGCGTAAAACTTTACAGATTTTTGAGGTAGTAGGGATTTGAAAAAAGTACAAGAAAAATCGTACCACGTTCGTATCGATAATATCGGTATTGTGTACGAAGAGTAGAGCAATAGAAGAAGTAACACCTGCTGTAAATGATGATGCAGTTCGGCAATCTTAAATTCTGCATATGGTAGGCCGCTATGATTGAGAGAAATAAAACTTCCAATGCTGACTTACCAGAATCTTATGGATTCTTAAAAAGAGTTATATAATTCATCTTGGCAAATCTTATAGGATTTTTATATTTCTTCGTTTAAGAATTTTATCAGTATTCTACACACTTCTATCGACTGCCTTATATAAGATTTCTATAAGACTTCTATAGAATTGCCGAAAGTCAATCGTCTGAGATCATCCCTACAGCAGTCATCCTCCTCTTTCATATATATATATATAAAGAGTCTAATTATAGACGCTAACGCTGTTTTTTGAGAGAATTCCAATGTTAAAAGATATAGTCACGGTTCGAATAATACAGAAGTTTATTGCATACCAGTACTCCAAATGATACTGTTGGTAAAAAATTATCTGCATACTAATAGCTTTTTCTGGTCATAAATAGTCGATTTTACTTGTACAATATTTCACACGTGCATGCAATTAACTTCTATTAGAAAATTAGTCAAAATTTCAAATTGGATAAACGTGAAGAAAAGTCGGTCGATGCATTGAGTTCATTGTTTTGCAAAAACCTGTAGTATAAATTTCCGTATCTCACGTAACATCACACGCATGAAATTCTTCTGCGTTTTTCTGTAAAAACAAAAAATTTTACGAGAAAACACAGGAAGATATCATCGATTTTCATGCATACAATATTATTGTCTGTAATTACACCAGGAAAGTTTTATGTGTTTATCAGATAATGCCCGCATAGATTCATCGAACCCATCCACAGGGAAGCCCCGTGGCTCACCCTCAGGTCTGCGGCAGTAGATCGCGATATGCTGCCCGCAGTCTCCCCCAGCTAACGAGGGGGCCGATTTAACTGTCAAATCCTCTCTTCAATCAGACGTAGTGGATTATAGGTTATCGACTGTGCTGATTCCGAATATGACCATGGCAGTTGCTTATAGGTCTCCAGAGATCCGATCCTTGGAAAACCAGTCTTCCAGAAACTCTCCGAAATAATCCAAACCTTTCTTAAGGAGGCAGAATAATAACCCGCACATTTCTGATTACAATGAGACATCGCGCAGTTCTACACGACCTTTCTTTGAAGTTTTAGAATTTACAACAAAAATGCTAAATATTCACTGTCAGCTCCAAGCCACAGAAAGAAAAAGGAAAAATAACTTTGGGGCTTTTCTTCTAAATTCTATAACTTTGCAACGAAAGATCATGCCGAGCTGTGCGATATCTCATTCTAATCAGAAATGTGCGGGTTATTATTCTGCCTCCTTAAGAAAGGTTTTGGTTAT